CTAATTTATGATGGTTAAAGAAATACATTTCTAAAGGGACTCTAGCTTAGCACTGAGTGAACTAGTAGTGTGAAGTGTCCCTTCCCAAATAGGGAAGATAGGTTCACTACTATACTCATGAGATTAAATACTATTATGTATATTGCATAAAGAGTCCAAATTAGATATCCTACTTATTGAACTATGTTTCCCCCATAGGAATAATAATTAGTGGATCCACCTAGATTCTATGTTCATGTTTTGGTACTACCATGTTAAGTAGTCCACATTCTTATGGTGTAGGGTTCCATAACACCGGTTTCCACATTAGCTCATGTAGTATATGTCGGTTAAGGAAATATGTTCCCGAAAGTAAAAAATGTAATAAAGTAAACTCTTACTAGGAGGACTTAAGGTGTTTGACTTAGTCTAGGAAGGGTATGGGAATCTACCTATACATTGCACTAGTTGTCATTGAGGGAAGTCCTAGGAGGATGTTCTTATTGTCGTATGATCTTATGCAGCGAATGACATGCTTATGTTGATTTTACATGTTAATTGGTTTGATTTGTTTAATATGATGATGAATACACATGATTCTATGTTATCTCGAGTTAGACATTATTTGGGATCCTTTAGTTGGTGTACTGGGTTGAGTGGGGTTATGGGGCTTCACTTATCCATTTGACTAGTAATCTTTGTAATGGGTTATGAGTAAGGATCTTGTATATGTTGTAATGTTATGAACTCTTGAGCTTTCTTTGTCTTTATAACATGATGTTAAAGTTGTTGATGAATATGGTTCTAATATGCTATGCACTTGTTGACTTGACATAACTTGAAGATCTTTGTCTTGTGTTGAATATAATATGGTCTTACGGAATATATGTGTACTGTGTTATAAATGTTCTTGGTTGTGCATAAAGCTATTCAAAAAAAAATGGCATGGTTTTGAAACAAATGTCCCTTTTAGAATGATTTCTATGTTTGTGTGTGCATATGATTCCATACTTAGTACAAGTGATGTACTAACCCCTATTTCTCCCTTTTTCCCAAAAAATTATGGTTTTGATCATTGAAGGGTTCGTGAACAATTTGCAAGAAGGCTCGGATCATTTCTCCAAGTGTAGGTATGTCGTCAAGAATCGAGGATGATTCCTTTTCTGATTCTACATATGTGACTTGCTATAGTTTAATGACATTCATTTCACTCTTATTGTTCAAGACTTTATAGTAAGCCCTATAGCAATTATACATCTGTGTAGAAGATATTAATGAATGGTTTCTATTCCTAGCTAGATAGTTTTATACGAGACATATGTATTAATTACACTTTGTATTGTGGATATTGTATATGTGACTTTAAAGTAGAACACTAAGTCAATTTCTTATGCGACGATTCTAAGTAAGCTCCCTATGTATATAATATGTGTAAGAGAGAGGACTATGCAAACAGATGAAAATTTTTAAATTTTCCATTTTTTAATCTATGATATTAAATGATGCTTTCTAAAAGGTTAGTCTATGATTTCTTAGAGGACGATGATGCCAGTTACGTCTAGGGGATGCTTTCCGGATGTGACATATGTGCTGGATCCTCTTGTTGGTAAATGTTGGTACAATTTTCTAGATAGGTATTTAGGCTACAATAATATATCCATATCTCAGGAAGACCAACATAAGACAACTTTAACTTTCCTTTATGTGACTTTCCTATTAAAAAGAATGCCTTTCTTCTTGTGTAGTGTTGATTAACCTTCTAGTAGTGTATAATGTTGATCTGATTAGGTATTTCTGACCATACTATTGAGATAATTTTGGATGATTTTCCTGTAGTTTGTGACTTATTCGATTATTTGTGCGTTTATTTGGTTTAGATACAGAAACAATATAAATAGTGCAATTTGCTGCTTAATTGCGAAAAGTGTAATTTCATTGTCATTGAAGGTATAGCGTTGGGTCATCAAGTTTCATAAAAAGGTATAAAAGTTGATCAATCAAAGGTTGAGGTAGTCAAAAATCATCTGCCACCCATCTACCGAAGGTTCCTTATAGATTTCTCAAAAATTGCACACCATTGTCCAAACTTCGCAATAAGAAGTGCAAGTTAATGTTTGATGATGCTTGTGCCAGAGCATTTGGATAGTTGAAGGCCAAGTTGACTTCTCGACCGATCATTATTTCACTTAATTAGGGAAAACCATTCGAGGATGTGTGTGATGCAAGTGGGGTGGGATTTTTAGTGGTCTTAGGACAAATGAATAAAAATATTCTTCACCCGAGTAAGGCTTATGTGATACAAAAGAGTTATAGAATTATTGAACATGAGCTACTTGTTGTGGTTTTTGCATTTGAAAAGTTTAGATCCTACTTTTTTGGTACTAAGGTGATAGTGCATACTGACCATTCTAAGGTTTCTCATGGAGAAAAATATGCAAAATTAAGGTTTAATATATGGGTGTTGTGTCTACATAATTTCTAGGTCGAGCTAAAAGAGAGAAAGAAGACAGAAAATCAGGTTACCGATCATTTGTCCAGACTAGTAGAAGAGTGTATGAACAAGTTTTATGATGGAATTGAGATTAATGATGAGTTCACAAATGTATAGGTATTGGTTGCTTCTTATGACCTTACCCTTAGTTTGATGAGTTTTCTAATTATTTGACTAGCAATTTGTTTCCATCGAATTTTCCCTATCAACAAAGGAAAAGTTCTGCATTATTTTAAGAAGTTCTTTTGGGATGAGCTTTGCCTTTTTCTTAGTAATAATGATAGTGTTATTAATGTTTTTATGCCCTATGTTGAGATGATCAGTATACTGGATACATGTCATTCATCACCTAATGGTGGAAACCATAGTGGTATCCGGACTTCTCATAATATCTTGCTACGTTGGTATTTCATGCATACCATCCACCAATATAATCACAATTTTACCATTTCTTATAATCATTTCCAAAGAGAATAAGGAATTTAAAAGAGGCAAGAGTTACCCATGATTCCGATCTTGGTGATTGACTTATTTGATATTGAGGCCTTGACTTTATTGGTCCATTTGTGAGCTCACATACTCTTATGAGATTGATTATGTGTCATAATGGATGGAAGTGATTTGGAATTAAAACAAATAAGGGTAAAAGTGTCACCACATTCCTGAAGAAGAGTATCTTCTCCAGATTTGGTACACCTAGGGCGATTATAAACAATCAAGGTTCCCATTTTAGTAACAATTTTTTAAAGCATTGCTACATAAATATGAGGTTAGTTAAAATGTATATAATATTTACCCTCCATTGTCTAGTTGGCATGTTGAGGTGTCGAACAAAGACATAAATCAAATCCTTGCAAAGACTGTGAACGCGAATTGAACATATTGGTCAAGGACGCTTGATGATGCGCTATGGTCCTATCGCACCGTCTTCAATACAACCGTAGGTATAGATGTTCCCTTACAAACTTCTTTATGGGAAATCATAACATTTGTTAGTAGAGTTTGGTCATAAGGCCACGTAGGCACTATAGAAGTTGAATTTTGACCGAAGCGCCGCATTAAGTCAAAGAGTGAACGACTTGAATGAGCTTGATATGTTTGCCTAAATGCATATGAGAGTTCAACATTGTACAAGGACAAGATGAAGATGTATAATGATAAAAAGATTGAGAAGAGAGAATTTTTTGTGGGTTATATGTTGCTTCTATTAAACTCAAGGTTGAACTTGTTACAGAGGAAGCTCATGTCAAATTGGACAGGTTAATTAGTAGTCACAAAAGTGTTCCCACTTTGAATCGTTTAGCTTGTGCACAAGGAGGGAACACGATTCAAAGTGAATGGGCAGAGAATTTAGTTCTACTTAGGGAAATCTTAGAGTGTGCAAGAAGTGATCGAGGCCTACTATCGTGATGAAGGCTGAGTAATCAATGTGTTCACATATTGGTTAGACATAATATAGTATTATTTGTTATTGAATTTTGATTTTATAGTTCTTTAATTTGTTGTGTCAGTTTTGTACTAGTATTTTTTAGATATAACATCGGGTTCGTGTCAAAAAAGTTTCAATAATATGTAAAAGGAAAGTCCTAATGGTTGCTACATGTGAAGGGACGACAAGTTAAATATGCAGAAAACATGCGAAAGTCCATGAACACCATCAACGGTCCTTGATTCTATTCATGGATAGTGAATAGTGTTTATAGACCCTTGGTAAGTTCTCTTTAATTTTCTAAGTGCTGGGTTACCTACAGAACATACCTACAGACTGTAGGTTGAATAAGAGACCACATACGGGGTCTTGTGGGTCCAAAGATAGGCTTTGCCTGACCTGACCTAGTTACATTATAAAAATTAAATATTTTCATTTTTTTTCATCTAACTCGATCGCAACTCCCTACAGACGATTTTTTAAACCCTTTCTCTCCCATAGTCAGTCCATTAAATCCCCACATCCCATAGATCACTGCCACATATTCCCCAAAATATTTCTCTCTCTTCCCAAATCACTCACCTTCATTGCCAAACGATTCCATTGTTAAAGTTTGATGTCAAAGGATAAAAATAGTTATAAGGAGTCTATTTTATTGTCACACTCACCAAATTTGATTTTTTGTAAGGTGAAAAACTTCTCATGGACTTTGAATTCACTATTCATTGTTGTATTATGAAGTCACGTAGTTCGAACTTGACCTTAGGGTGTTAGGGATGTTAATTTTATGGATATATGTCTATGAATATTCTATAATATACCTTGGTATAATGGTATGTAATTGTGTAGGTTAATTTAACTAAGTAAAACAAGGTAAAATCATTAAATGATACTTTTGACTTAGGGTTCCTAGTTCGATAAGTCAGAAAAGTCAAATTTTGAATAATCAGAACCCTAAGGTGTCATATACGAGGAGCACCCCATAGAAGTAACATGGCTTACTTGACCTCCCGAAGGTCTTTTACAAGCCCAAAACTATCATTCATTGCATTGTCATAGGTAAATTACCGGAAAATTTAAAAATTTTCTTGCCATATCATATGCTAGAACATTACTTTTAATATATATAAAATATCTTTATACATATTAAGGACTCTAAGTCTCTTTTTTCCATGTTAGACTCAACATAATTAGTGTACATTAGGGACACGACCCTTGTAACATAATTCATAACTATACGATTTATAAGACTTTACAGTAAGCTAAACATTAAGACACCCTTGGACTTAAGTATTCCTTTCCTTGAGCTTGGGAATCACATATTAAGCTCCTAAATCATAGATACATCCTTTAAGGATCCATAACCTACATATTGTGAAATAAGTAGAGAAGAATGGTGTTAGTACAAGAATGTAGTAAGTATGGCAACCATGCAAAAACCTGCATTTAGAAGGGACATTTTACTTCAAAACCATACATGATGCTTTTTTGTGAAATCTTTATAAAACCTTGATACAATAGCATTTATATCATTCACATACTTCATATAGACATATTCAAAGGCCAAACATTATATCAAATAACATATATAACTTAAGGCACATTTTACGTCACTTTATAGTAAGTTATTCTCACTTCACAATGAACTATTCTCCTTTTACAGTGAACTACTTTTATTTAGAACATCTTGACCTTCCCAATTAATCCTTCTAGTGATACTAGGGGCGAAGCATGAGTAATATGCCACACAAATATCCATGCTCAAGTATCATCTTAAGACCAAAAGAAAACAATACATACAACCTTTTAACTCAACAGATATAATCATATGACCATTTCATAAAAAATGCCAACATTCAAATTACAACTCCATATCATTTATATCATCACTCATGAAGACACTAACACATTTTTATGCAAGAGAACCATAAAAACATGCACATACATTTGACAACCTTCCTAGGAATCGTTTAGAAAGCTACTTGTGCAATGTCTAGGTGGGTTCATTACTTTCATTGTCCATTTTACTTTAGGGAAGTTACAGTATTAACCGACACTAAGACCATGCGTGCTAAAACTGAATTTGGTGTTGTAGAGCCTTAAATCAATGAAAGGTGTTCTTACCTAGCCAAGGTATAATATTAACACATCGAGACATACTAAGTAATATAAATTGCTAGATCCTATGTGGCAAGCATAGTTTATGTAACTTGGATTCCTTCATGGAAACATCACTCTATGTCCTTGGGCTATGAGGCTATCCATCTCAACAGATTTATGGTGGACCTTCCTTCCGACATTGGGAAGGAACACCACTCATATTCACGTTTACTCGGTGCTAAGCTAAATTCCCTTGTTATTAAAAACCTTCATTAACATTACCTTATAAAATTAAGGTTTAGGAGATTGAATCCCTATATGCTTAGCTCATAGTTCATAGATGAGATTTCCTCAACCTAAATCATGTGAGAAAGGCTTTCACATGGACATAGCATATATTATAAGAACTATCTAGTTTACAGTACAACTTGGGAACATCTTTCAAGTGCCTTATTTTTACAAGATCATATTACATGAAAATTCCAAAGAAAGATTCAAAATAAGGTTCAAAGAAGCCTTATTTAAACCTCAACACTGATACAAAAACAAAATGTGAATTATTAGATATTCATTTTACAAGAAATAGCACAAAATTAATTTCTTAATAAAAAGAAAGTCACAACACACTTTGTTATCACTTTCATGATAAACAAAAAAAAATATCAAGAAAAGATTTATCGAAGAGTAGACCCTACATACAAAGATATGTTGTAAAAGTTTCTAGACAATTATAAAAAATCAGCATGGGACAAAGCAAGCTTATTCACTATGTCAACAATTCCACCAACATGTGGACCCCGAAGGATAAAGACACTAACTAACAAAAGGAAAAAATAACAAATATATTCATTGAAGATAAAATTTCAGCAAAAGAAGATATAAATGCAATGAAGGCTACGTAAGTAGTATAAGCTAATATGACATCTATTCCAAGACAGTACAATTATCATCAATTATTTGTAAATAGTTAGTAGACACATGTACAAATAATAATATGTATTTGTGTATACACACATGTAAAATTGATAGCATAATAAATAATATTAATTAGAACTTTTGAGGCCTATTTAAGATTCTAAACTTGTAATAGTAGAGGCAATAAAAATCTTACTGATTTTGAAAAACCTCTCTACACTTTCTCCAATTTCCCATATTATGCATTTTCCCATCTTTGTTCTCTTTTTCCGTAAATCAATAAAAATTTGTAAGTATAAACTTTCTATACTCATTTTAATTGTTAAGTTTATGTTTTAAAATTACAATATATGTTCGTTTACTATTTTTTCGCTCCTGTGTTTACATTGAGTTTTCTTAAAGTTTTATTTTAATGTTTACTTGTTCTTGCTCCTTCCGTTACACTTCCCAATTTTACATAGGATTTCGTCCCGGAACTTTGTCCTTCCCGTCCATTGATATGGAGGGGACAGACCGAGTTCTGTGATGGAATCCTATGTAATATCGGGCAGAGTAACGAAAGGGAGGAAGTACTTAAAAAGATTAAGAAAAAATTAAACAAAGAGATGAACAAATGACAGTATACAAACTTAAAACAAAACATTAAAATTAAACACATAAAATAAACAAAATAGTAAAGAAAGTATACTTACAAAATAACATGATTTATTTAGGGAACACAGAGAGAACATGCAACATGGGAGAAAGTTGAGAGATTTCAAAGTTTTATGATTTTGAATGCCTCATACTAGTACAAGTTGAAAGCCTTAAATAGGCTTCAAAATTGCTGACTAATCTAACATACTATGATATCTATTTTACATGTATGTATACCCTAATACACCTCATTTTTTTTAACCTGTAACTACTACCTACTAAAATAACTGATGATAATTTTACGTGGCTTGGAATAGGTTACATGTTAGCTGAAACTACTTATGTAGACTTTACTTCATGTTTATCTTCTTTTGTTGAAATATTATCTTCAAAGTATATTTTGATATTTTGTCCTCTTGTTACTTTCTGATTTTATTCCTGCGGGGGTCACATATTGGTACAACTGTTGACATAATGCTGATTTTTATAATGGTGTTCCATAATATATCTTTGTATGTAGGGTCCACTTTTGAATATTTTTTTTGTTGATATTTTTGTTGTTTATCATAAAAGTATGCTGGAATTTTCTTTTAATTCAGAAGGTATTCTTGTGCTATTCCTTGTAGATCTAACATATTTCCAATGCTAATATCGTCATGGGAGGCAACAGTCTCTAATAACTCAAATTTGATTCCGTATAAGTGTGGCGGTTTAGTAAGACTTCTTCGAGCCTTCTTTTCAATGTTTCTTTTGAGTGTTCATAATCCCTTCGGGGTGATAAACTTGTACTTAAATTATCATTGCGGACAGCTGACGCCTATCCTTTGATCTTAATGATTTTTCTTAAATATTTGATCCTCTCAAATTCACAAAGGTCAAAAGACCAAAAAATAATATAAGTTATTCTTTTGGCAATATAGAACTTGCATAATTTAGTATTTTTCTGATAAGGTTGATATATTTCTCTCTACCTGAACTTATTAAGTTGTATTCAATGTTGAGTTTATAATAATTGTTTATTTCCTTCAATATGACTCCACCATTTGTAAAACCATCGGAGAATAATTGCGGTCTTAATTTCTTCTAAATATTTGATAAACCAGGTGTAGGTACCTGGTGTAGCAAAAATAAATTTATATCAGGATGCTTTATAATCATACCCTTTATATGTCTGGAGTTGACGAGATTATCATAAGTGCATAGGCGTATGTAGATGATGTAATGATCCAAAAAGTCATTTAAAAAAATTATATGAAATTTCAATTGTTACCTATATCGATAGTTGCCTCGAGTATTTTGATTAGTTGGTTAAGTTGATTTGAAAATTTTAAACTATTTATTTAACTACAATTACTTAATTAATGGACATATATTAAAAAAATTATTTAATTAGTTAATTGTTAACGGGTCAAGTCCATAGTAATTTAATACCTTATAGACCTCTTAAACCAACTTTATTAAACTAATAAAGTAAGTAGGGTTTACTATTTTGAAGTCATTAACTATTAAAAGGAACAGTGGCGGAAAACAACTACGAATGCTCCATATCCCTATGGTCGGTATGCTCGTCCCTTTGAAATATTTTGTTATCAAGTTAATTGATAAGCATATATCTTAATATATTATTATAATACATTGGTTAGATAAAGAATGGAAGGACATAACGTGTTGGCTGGACGTTTATAGATAATGTAAAGCTTATATAGTTGAATTAATGACAACAATTCATATATTTGTTTAACTTAATAAATTGCAGAAATTGAAAGTTAGAATAAAAATGAGAAGGCACGTTTATGGATTATTGAGAGGACATGCATTTTTTTTATTTATTTGTAATGATTAGAAAATTATATTTCATCAATAATTAGAAGGATGAGATGGAGTATTTAACTAATTACTTTTTTGGATGCATGTTACTGGTTTTGGTAGTTTCACCACGAACTTGACTTCTTCTTATGATTATCTTATAAAAAAATTAAGTGTTAATAATATTCAAAATAAATAATTAAATATTAGATATATTGTATTATATCATTATTATTAAACTATCATATTGAGGGAATTATAAATAAACCCTAGACTTGAAAATTGGAGTAAATTGAAAAGTTTACATGTTAATAGGCATTAAGATTAAGAATTGGATTATAGTAATACAGATGTTTTTAAATTAGAAATCTCATTTTGAATACCTACTTGAATAGATTGCATTGATTTGGAAGTTTAACAGAAGAGGAAGGCTCATGTTCTGGAGTGAATTCTTGATTGGTTGAGGCAAGTAGATTTGTAAACTCTAGTTAAGTGTATGAAATTTGTGTATTTATTTGTGGTATATGTGTGGGAGTAATGGGACTTGGTGATGGGTTTACTTGTCCACATTGATTAATTCTAATGATGAAAACAAAGTGTAGTAAAAGGCAATGTGAATAATTGCTTGTGAGATGTGTTGATAATAAAGAATGGTTTGAAAAGTTTGTTGAATCATTGTTGATGTTGTTTTGAATTGTGCAGTGTTATGAAAGTTGTCATATCCTCTTTACATGTGTGAACATGTCATTTGCATTATTGTAAGACATGGTTGTGAAAGTGTTATGTGTATTGAGAAAGAATGACAACTTAAAAATGATGTACTATTTCGAGAGACGCATCGCGCGCCGTGATGGTTACTATTATTGAGGGTCGTGTTGTAAGCCACGACAGATGCATGGACAGATATTTTCCCCATGGGTCTCGGACTGACAGACAGCGGGTGTGTATCACTAGGTCAGACATGCATCATTATACTTGACATTGTATTCCATTGCATTACACATATTTATCATTAGTGAACTTGATATCGTGTTTTTTTGATCTTCTAATTATCTTTCTGTGGAACTTGTGATTGATCAATATTGAGCTTGTAATTGCGGATATATAATTTGTTGAAGTATTGTTGTTGAGGATATGTAATTTGTTGAAGTGTTGTTGTTGAGGATATGTAATTTGTCTAAGTGATGTTGTTGAGCTACGTGCTATGTAAACTGTGAGTTGTTAGGCTGGGTTGATTTTTAATGCAGGTTGTAGTTGCGGAGGTTCGGTTGGGGGTGGTAGGAGTACCACTATTTCATCCCCTTTGCTTGTGATTAGAGGTTTACTTGTTGAGTACCGTGTGGTTTGGTACTCACCCCTTGCTTCTACAAATTTTTGTTGGTTATGAGACTGAATTTTTGTTATACTTGTCATTCTCTTCTTTTCTGAGGCTTCTTGGAGATTTGTGAGGTAGTTGTTTCCGTCCCATCAGACTTTCTTCTCCATAATTATGATCTTGTTCTATTCTAGAAACAAGTTGATTTGAGACTTGTGTTTTTCTTTTGAATCAATTGTAATACTTTAGAGGCTTTTACACGTGACTACTAGATTTTCGGGGTATAATGTAAGTTGATAGTAAATTTTCCGCATTTTTATTGAAATAGTTGAGTTTTAGGATGACTTGTCTTTATGGGATAAGACGAGTACCATCATGTCCATTTTAGGTCGTGAAAAAAATTGTATCAGAGCCCCATGTTCATAAGTATCACGTGTATACAAGTCGAGTCTAACTAGAGTCTTGAGGATAGGTATGGAGACGTCTATACTTATCTTCGAGAGGCTATAATGACATTTAGGAAAAATAACTCCACTTCTTGAATCTCTCTCGTGCATCATTGTCCGTTCTGATTCTTATTGCGTTATTTCATTATCTCTCACCTATTTTGATGAGTCGTGTGTGGTTCCTTAAGTTTGAAGTTGGTGTTTCCTATATGGTTTGGAGGTTAGACCTGATAATAAGATGAAAAAGATGCGTGATCAGATTTGAAATGTTCAATTTGAAACAATTGAATTAGGTGATGCCTTGGCGATGATTTTCGTAGAATTTCTAAATGGTGAGGTTGAACAATGGTCTGATGAACTTCATGAATGTGTTATCCTCTTCAGGTTAGTTTACCCAACTGAGGGAATAATAGTTAGTGGTATAGATAATATCTGGAGTGGTTTGACAAGTTGAAATGGAATGATTAAAATGATGGCTTGATAACAAATAGTATAACCTTGGAAAATACAATTGGCATAGTTGTCATAACATATATGGATTTCTTAGAGAATAATGTTGCATTAATCAAGGTTAGAGTCTTTCATAGATTGAGTGTATATAAAAAAGGTTGATAGTACGACTACTATACTAGTACCGATTCTTACTTGTTTCGAGTTAGAGAATGTGTACTCTTATTATTGACCTGAGCTACGAAGGAATGCATATAGTGTTGGAAAACAAATCAAATAAATTTGATAGTGTATGTTAGTTCCTTAATGGGGCAGAAATGTGTAGGCTATTTGGGTACAATATTCTCCATAGTTATAAGGTTTTGTAGTAATGGATTTAACAAACTTAACAATGTGGTACTAGTGGCTTATGGAAATGAATAAAGTGATGTCAAGTGTGAGTACTAACTAATTAAAGAGTTATCAATAGTATCACATGCTCGTATAATGATATTCGATGTTGTATTCACATTTGAGAAACCAACTAACTTGTAACTACAGACAAATAAGTCAAGCATTGTTTGTAAGGGGAATTTTTAGTGGTGGATTTTCGATTTCATATTAATGTGTTTAGGTTGTTGAGTGTATCTTGAGATATTTAACAAAGGACAAGTGATTTCATCATAAGCTCCAATTTAATGAATTAATGTTGAAATGCCAAGCTTGTGGGTAAAGGAAGTCCTAACGTGTATAATTGTGTGAAGGCAATTGAGAATTTTAGTAAGAAATTATATAAGATTGAATTAGATTGAATTAGATTGGTATAGATGGGTTTGAAATGTCATGAACCTTAAAAGGTTGACTCTGAGATGAGAAAAATGTCTAATGAGCATAACGATATTAAGAATTTGTAATGAAATAGTAATTCAGATGCAACTATATGATAAAGATTGTTGGTTAAACAAATTTTGTATGGTAATAACTACTTGAAAGTATCTAATATAGTAGTTTCCACTATTTGATGAGTAATGTTGTTGTATAGAGAGTCTAAGAATATGTAGAGACACTGCTCGCATTAAATTTGAAGCATCTACAGTCATACTGAAAAAAGTGTGGAATGTAGTGGAGCCTTCAGAAAGTGGTGAGAGTAAGTTTATTTTTTTCTTATTGCAAAGTCTAAAGGGGTGTCTTCAAATGGATTGAGAACTGGGTTTAGAGACATGTCATTTATTTCAATTTGCTTTGGTTATGATAATAATGTCACAGGTTTATCAAATTGGTTAAAAACTACTGGATAAGACTTGAGAAAGGAGTGTATATACGTTCAACTCGAGTGTGATTATAAATTCTATTGTGATCTTGAGTTTGATAATTAGTATAATGGTTCAATTTTTACCGAAGGATATGATAAGATCGATAGAAAGGCAAAATGAAAAGGTAATACAAATGAATTCATAAGAATCTTCGAGGTATGTGTTAATGTTAATAATGATGGGATTGTGATACATGGTTGGCAATTTTTTTTTTAGATTTTCATTGTGAGTTATAATTCTGGTAGTGTTATTTTTCAATGTATGGATTGGTAAGGTAATAAATGTCGATCACAGTGAGTATAAAGCACTTGGCAAGACTTAAAAGTATTGGATTAGTAAATTTTGTTACTTTTCATTGTTATACTTAACGGGGGTTTCAATATATCTGTAACGACCTATTTAGTCATTTTGAGCAGTAGAGTATTTCTGGTAATAATTGTCTGAGTCGACGGATCCCACGATGGACCGTCATGGCCACGACGGACTATCGAGGGTGTCTACTTCCAAAACACTTAGAATTCTTAAATTTGGGTAATCAGATAGACTTTCTGAACTTCACGAGGAAAATGGCAGGACGGACCGTCACAGGCACGACGGGCCGTCACAAACTCTTCAAGGAATTGAGTCTCCGAACTTTATGACGGAAGCAGCAGGATGGACCATCGCAGGCACGACGGGTCATCACAGTCTGCATAACCCTGCCTGGGTCGGATTTCTGTTAAATGTTTTGAGGGGCGTTTTGGACTATTCCTGCTTATAATTATAAAGTTAGTGGTTTAATGTTAATAATTCAATTACTTGGGGGGTTAAAGGAGATATCCTTGAATTAATTAGTGGGTTATTTTTATCATCTTTTATACTTAATTATATACTAATTAGGGTAAAAGAAAAAGGGTTTTGAATAAGAAAAATAGAAAGAACACAGAGAGAAAGGGAGAAACGATCGAGAGAGAGAGAGAGAGAGAGGAACGAAAAGGACAACAGAGCTTTGGGGAATTAGCTTGTTTGATCGTCATTCTTCGGTGGAGGTAGGTTATGGTTTATGCTTTTCATAGTAAACTCTTAATACCAAATGATATGTGTTGGGTAGTATTGTAAAGTCTTCTATATGCTTAATTTTGTGCATGCATGATATGATTATGTAATTGTAATGAATTAGTATGATGAGGCTGTAGAATCCTAAACCTTGAAACCTCTTTGTTAATGATGATGCCTTGGTATAAAAGAAGGCTTGATGAACTAAAAGAATGAGGTTAGTGGATCGGGTGTCATGTTCCGGCACTAGGATAGAAATAGTGGATCGGGTGTCACGTTCCGGCACCAGGATAGAAATAGGGGATAGGGTGTCACGTTCCGACACCAAGATAGTATTAATGGATCGGGTGTCACGTTCCGACACCAGGATAGTATGATGAGGATCAGAGTGTCACGTTCTGACACCAGGATAGTATGATGAGGATCAGAGTGTCACGTTCCGACACGTGGATAGTATGATGAGGATCGGAGTATCACGTTCCGACACAAGGATAGTATGATGAGGATCAGAGTGTCACGTTCCGACACCAGGGTAGTAAAGAGAATGAATTTTGAAATATGTTAATATACTCAATTTAATGAACCTTTTCCTAAATGAGTATGGTATGGAGGCTTGAGTTCTCATGGGTGTACTTGATGTTATTTATCAATGATTCTTGCACATTGTTGGTTCTACCTGTTGAGTATTATAGTTAATTTTATGATATTATCTTATATATATTGCTTTCTATTTTGAGTTGGCCGATGATACCTACTCAGTACTTGTGTTTTGTACTGACCCCTACTTGTATTTGTTTTTCTTTGTTAATTGTGGAGTACAACAAATGTACCATCATTTTCAACTCAACCGCAACTCTAGCCAGTCTTCATCACGCAAGATTTAAGGGTGAGCTATTGCTTCTAGCTTGGACTGGATCTTCTTCTTCATGTCTTGATGCCTTGAAATTCCTGCATGGACTAGCTTTTTACTTATTTTAGCTCCTTACATACTCTTAGATTTAGTAATTTGAGGATAGATGTTCTTGTGATGATGACTTCCAGGTGTTGGGATAGAAATTGATAAATTTTAGAAGTTATTTACTTGATTTCATTAATGAGTTTTAAGTCTTCCGCATTATATTTTGTTCATTATGGTTGAATGTTGGGGTTTGGATTGGTTGGTCCGCTCACATAGGAGGGTAAATGTGGGTGCCACTCACGACACGTTTTGGGTCGTGACAAACTTGGTATCAGAGCATTAAGTTCGTTGGTCTCATAACACAAGAACGAGTCTAGTAGAGTCTTAAGGAACGGTAGAGGGACGCCTTTACTTTTCTTTGAGAGGCTATAGGACTTAAGGAAAATTCCATTCTTTCTTTCTTTCGTGCTATTACTTGGATCCAATTGGTATCTAGGTGATACAATTTGGTATCTGACCATCTTCACTCTATTTCGCAGATGGTTAGAACTAGAGCAACAACTGCACCAAAACCAACACCGGCAAGACAAGATGCGTCTAAGCCAGCCACAAGGGCTGTAACTCGAAGAGGAGTAGTGGCAAGAGGCCGTGGAAGAGGTCGCGGGAGGAGGTCCTCTAGAGGAAGAGGACAAGCACCTAGCCCATCTGGTACTAGAGCGGTGACTCCTCCACCGACTGAGGAAGTAGTATGAGAGAGTGAGGAAGGAGAAAATTAGCAAGTGCAGAATGAGGAATTACCACCCCAACCTACCCCAGAGATGATTAATAAGGTTCTTGCCTATCTTCACGGGTTATCTAATCAAGGCCAAACACCTCAAGTGTTTTCTGCACCAGCACCTCAGGTTCTGGAGGTACAAAATACAGCTACTGTGGCTCCCCGCATGGATGCCTCATTGGAAATAGGCACGTTTCCTCGGTTGACTACACGGCCTATAATGACAAGTGATCAGCATGAACTTTTCAGTAAGTTTTTGAAATTGAAACCTCCAGTCTTCAAGGGTGCTGAATCTGAGGATGCCTACGATTTTCTAGTTGACTCTCATGAGTTATTACATAAAATGGGCATAGTGGAACGATTTGGTGTTGAGTTTGTAACCTATCAGTTTCAGGGGAAATGCCAAAATGTGGTGGCCGTCACATGTTAAGTGTCAACCCGCACAAGCACCACCATATGACTTGGGCGTCATTCTCTAGCTTATATATGGAGAAGTATATCCCCTGGACCTTGAGGGATAGAAGGAGAGATGAGTTCTTGAGCCTAGAGCAAGGTAGGATGTCAGTTACTGCATACGAGGCTAAGTTTCGTGCACTATCCAGGTATGCCACCTAGCTTTGTTTCAGTCCACAAGAGCTGATTCGCCGTTTTGTGAAGGGGTTGAGGTTAGAGCTGCGGATTTCAGCCTTACAGGTAGCGGCTAAAGCAAAATCCTTTCAGGAAGTGGTAGACTTCGTGATAGAGGTAGAGGGAGTGAAGTCAGATGACTTCGCCATGACATTGACATAAAAAAGGTTTCGTAAGGGAGGTGAGTTTAATGGTTATTACTCCAGAGGACAGGGTTCAGGAGGTTACACAGTTCGACCAATTCAGTCCTCACTATAGGCTGTAGCTGGGGGTCTACCGCAGACCGGTCAACGTTTCTCTGAGTTTGGTGGTTATCCCCAGACTTCGTCATTCTCAGAGAGAGCTATGCTTGAATCCAGAGAGTGTTATGGATGTGGGGTGACTTGACACATTAAGAGGTATTGTCCAAAAGAGAGTTACAGACCTCCAATAGTCATAGGTAGAGGTGGTCATGGAAGAGGACGTCATTCTGGAGGACGTGGTGGTCGAGGTAATGGTGGTCACCAAAACGGCTAGGGTGAAGGGAAAATTGGATTCACTACAGCACAACATGGTAAGGGCAACAGGCAGACAGGTGATAGGGCCCATTGTTACGCTTTCCCCGGGCGGTCTGAGGCAGAGAAATCTGATGCTGTTATCACATGTAATCTTTTGGTTTGCGATTGCATGGCTTCTGTATTATTTGATCCTGGCTCTACATTTTCATATGTATCTTCCTCATTTGCTACTTGTCTTAATATACCTTGCGAATTGCTTGACATGCCTATTCGTGTTTCTACTCCGGTGGGTGAGTCTGTGATAGTTGAAAAGGTATATAGGTCTTGTCTGGTGACTTTTCTGGGGAGCAATACTCATGTAGACTTGGTTATCTTAGAAATGGTTGATTTTGATGTAATTCTGGGTATGACTTGGCTTTCTCCAAATTTTGCAATTCTGGATAGTAATGCTAAAATTGTAACATTGGCCAAGCCTGGGACAGATCCGTTATTATGGGAGGGTGACTACACTTCCACCCCGGTTCGTATCATCTCCTTCCTTCATGCTAAGAGAATAATTAGAAAGGGTTGTTTAGCTTTCTTGGCACACCTCAGGGATGATACTACTCAAGTACCTTCAATTGAGTCGGTTTTGATAGCCTGTGAGTTTCTGGATGTGTTTCCTGCAGACCTTCCTGGTATGCCACCGGATAGAGATATTGACTTCTGCATTGATCTTGAACTGGGTAATCGCCCCATTTCTATACCCCCTTATAGAAGGGGCTCCCGCTGAGTTAAGAGAGTTAAAGGCTCAACTTCAAGAATTGTTAGGAAAAGGCTTCATTCGACCAAGTGCATCCCCTTGGAGTGCTCCTGTTTTGTTTGTGAAGAAGAAGGATGGAAGCTTTCAAATGTGCATAGACTAAAGACAACTGAATAAGGTAACCGTTAAGAACAAGTATCCTCTTCCTCGCATCGATGATTTGTTCGATCAGTTACAAGGTGATTGTACCTTCTCAAAAATTTATTTGAGATCTTGTTATCATCAATTGAAAATACGGGCAATGGATGTGCCCAAGACTTCTTTTCGGACCAGGTATGGGCATTATGAGTTCTTAGTAATGTCTTTTGGGCTTACGAATGCCCCTGCTGCTTTCATGAGCTTGATGAATGGGATTTTTAAGCCATATCTGGACCTCTTTGTCATTGTATTCATTGACGATATACTGGTATACTCAAAGAGCAAGAAAGAACATGAGGAGCACTTGAGAATTGTATCGGAAATGTTAAGGGAGAAAAAGCTTTATGCCAAATTCTCCAATTGTGAGTTTTTGCTAGATTCAGTGTCCTTCTTGGGACACGTAGTTTCTGAGTATGGATTGATGGTGGATCCTTCTAAGATCGAAGAAGTGAAGAGTTGGGTAAGACCTACTAATGTTATAGAGGTAAGGATCTTCGTTGGTTTAGCTAGCTACTACCGTCGATTTGTCAAGGGTCTTTCTTCTGTTGCTTCCCAATTGAAAAACCTGACTAAGCAGAGTGTTCAATTTGTATGGTCGGACGAGTGTGAAGAAAACTTTCAGAAGCTCAAGACCTTCTTGACTACTGCACCAATCCTTACCCTGCCGGTGAAAGGTAAGAATTTCATTGTCTATTGTGATGCATCCTATTCGGGTTTGGTTGCAGTGCTAATGCAAGAGAAGAATGTAATTTCTTATGCTTCGAGGCAATTAATGGTGCATGAACGTAATTATCCGACCCAT